ATTCTCACCATCTTCATTATCATCATCTTCATCATCATTTTCATAAGCTTCATCATTACAATCTCCATCATCATCATTTTTATCATCTTCTTCGTCATCTTCATCGCCGACATCTTCTTCATCGTCATCTTCTTCTTTAAAATCATCACCATCTTCATTATCATTATCATCATCATCATATTCATAAGTTTCATCATTAATGATCATCTTCATCATCTTAGCATTTATCATCATATTCTGCATCATCTTCATAATCATCGTCTTCATCATCATCACCATCATCATCATCATCATCATCATCATCATTATCTTCATTTTCATCATTTTCTTCTGCATCATTATCATCCTATTTTTCAACTTCTTTTTCATCTTTTTCATCAACATCATATTTTCTTCATCTTGTTTATTAACTTTATCAGAATTATCATCAATACATCATATATAATCATCATCATCGCCTTCTTCATCATCATCATCATCATCATCTCCTTCTTCCTTTTCATCATCATCATCATCATCACCTTCTTCCTTTTCATCATCATCATCATCATCATCTTAAACGCTATTTATATTCAGGACGTAGGCGATCAGAGCTATCCTGCCGTTCCTTTTCTTTATTATCTATGAATTTCCGTGACTTGGGGGGGGGGGTAGATAGCGGTTTCTCGTCGCATTCTCCCTGATTTGGAATTCAGAGCTTTACTTTTATTAGACTGGTTGCCATCCAAGGCTAGAGATCTCGTTTTAATCAGCTATTTAACTCACAGCTAGTGGAAAGAAGAGATAGCTTCATGTCTTCCTCAACGGCAACAGAATTAGAATGAACGCAGGTGGCTAATCTGTAATTCGATGTTGACTTGTTGAACTCATTTTCCTATTTGAATTTTCTGACAAATCTTAATTCTTAAGTTAATGATTGGATAAGTTCATTGCAAGTTCCACGACTATAAATTCCTCTGTTGCATCCTTAAATATTTGAGCTTAGCAACTTTTAACAAAATATTACAATAACAATCTTAAATATAAACGCAGGTTATTATCTAAAGAAGTAAGACGGCCCAAATGAAAAGATTAAAAATTGACAATATTTCACTGAAGCAGACGTTAAACACATAAGAGGATTATCGCCTCCTATGTCTTCCCTTTCATTCATTCATTCAATCTTTCTTTCTTTCTTTCTTTCTTTCTTTTCACTTCCTTCTTTGCAAAGGAAACAATCGCCTTTGATATATATTTTCTTCTGTATATAATCACAAACAAACAGAAATCGTCCATTGTTTATCAGATGTAATGACAGGGCGTAATGTAACTGTTAACTATGGAACGAATGAATAATAATAATAATAATAATAATAATAATAATAATAATAATAATAATTGACCTTCAAAGATACGTAGAAACTACAGAAGACTGGATAATCTGTGTCAAAGAACATGAAAGTAGTAAGCGACTTTCTTCAGCAGTAAAGAAGCCAAAAAGTTCAAAATGGAGTTTCAAGTGGGTGTAGAAATACAAGTAAAGCATAATACACCGAGTGAAGCTGCAAAATACTTAAAAAAGAAAGAAAAGGCAAATGCAACCGACCAGATACAGAAACGATGGCAGGATAAATTTCTTCATGGTCAATAATCTGCCCGTTCCAAACAAACTGATATAGACAAACCCCGTAGCCATCAATGGCTACGTAGTGCAGGATTTAAAGCTGGCTCTGAAGGTTTTATTCTTGCTTCACAGGACCAATGCTTGCTAACTAGAAATTACCAAGCACACATACTGAAAAATTGTGTTAATCTAAAATGCAGATTCTGTCATAATCCAGAAACAATTGACCATCTTGTATCAGGTCGCACGGTATTGGCACCCACAGAATATAAAATAGGGCACTGCAATGATTACGGAAAGGAAACTGCAAGAAACTGTTATGAACACCACCCAGACTCGGTTACAGAGATAGGACCTATAAAATTTTATGGGACTTTGCAATACACACAGTTGGAACAATCAAATCTAATCGCCATGACATTAGAGACCGCAAAGACAAAATGTGCCTCCTTATTGACATGGCAGTCCCTGCAGACTGCAATGTATATTTGAAGATCTTCAAAAAATTATCAAAATACAAGGAACTTCAAATCAAAATCTCAAAAATGTGGCACATAAGGACATTAACGATTCCAGTTGTAGTTGGAGTCCTGGGATTTATTAGAACAAAGATTCCGATAGACTCATTGAAGGGATCCCTGGTAGCCCATGTCATAAAAAAATACAGAAAATTTTGCTCACTAGTACAGAAACATCTTACGAAGGGCTTTATCTATGTGAAATATGTGCGATTTTCTTTTCAAAACTGCTCAGTGGAAAATGTCATGATGCCATTTCTGACCTTAGGTCTCTGGTTGGGACTCGGAAAGAAATGAGTAGATACCGGAAACCAGCAATAATAATAATAATAATAATAATAATAATAATAAACAAAATGGCTGACGTAATTCTTCCAATATTTAAAGAAAAGCGCGATTTAAGAAAAGAAAGAGAAAAGAAAAAATAAACACGGTGTTTAACAATGTACTGGTAATCAACATATGAAAACGAATGACCAGAATTACAGGAGAGTTACATAACATTTATACTAAGCTGTTGAGATTAATTCCTATTAGAATATTTATTTTGTAAAAATACAAAATTGTTGCACAATGCCGAAGGGGAAACGGGGAGAGGTTGATTTTCATTAGCTATCCTAGTCCTAGTTAATCATCATCACGACCCATTCATTCATTAAAATTTGCTCATTCACCACAAGAACTCATCCATCACCACTCAATCCTGCATATACCATAATACCGCATATTAATTCCTCTTAGTAACATTTCAACTAACATAAAATTCCAAAATGATCACCATCTTATTACGCACATTTCAGTTGCATGTCTTCTCTCTCGCTGGCGTCGTTTTATTTCTTTTGAAACGTTTATTACCAGTACAGCCGTTTTCTTTTTAATACAAAACAAACGAAGTTTGTACAAAGACTTATAACATTTTGTAAATTTATATGTTTTTATACTTGGAAAATTTTTTAAACAAACTTGAAAAAGACATATTGTCGAAATATTGTTGAACGTTGCCAAAAACAGTGTTTTTGCTTTTTTGTTTCTTTTCTTCAATTGCGCTCTTCTCCAAGTGTTAATAATAATAATAATAATAATAATAATAATAATGAAGAGAAAAGTGAAGTAACGATACGTTTTCAATTCATATTTCGCGACTGTTTTGAAATTGACTCTAATTTTGGATATACGTATATACTCGCGTATCATGCGATCTTTGAAGACCTAATTTTAAAGGTAATTTGACTACTGTATTTCTGAAAGAATTAGAAATCCTACTGGGTTTCGTCATTGGCGGCCACAATCTTAACAACATAAGATATGCAGATGACACGAAAAAGAAATTACAAAACCTCCTACAGAAGATAGCGAAGGAGAGCGAAAGGGTCTAAACATAAGCTACAAGAAAGAATGCATGGTCATCAGTAAATGGATGAGCCCGAAATGCGATTTGCGATTTACAGGTCGGAGACACTAAAATCATGTAGGTGCGGAAGTTTAAATATCTGGGAAGGGTTTTGACGGAGGACGGCAAGTGCGACGCTGAGATCCGAAGACGCATTGGGATGGCCAAAGACGCATTCCAAAAGCTAGGCAGAATATTAAGAGACAGGAGGATTTCTTTGATAACAAAGAAAAAAGTACTGAGCTGCTACGTGACATCTGTCCTTCTTTACGGCAGCGAATGTTGGTCGGTCCCCTCAAAGAAGAGACTCGTGGTGGCGGAGGTGTGGTTCTACAGAAGGATGCTGAGGATATCATGAACCGAGCGTGTGAGCAACGATGAGGTTTTGGAGAATATGCAAACAAGGAGGAAGCTTACACTTAACATCAGGAAGAGGCAACTGAAATTCGTAGGACACTTAATGAGAAAGGACGGCTTGGAGAACCTGATACTCACAGGTCGAATAGAGGGAAAGAGAGACAAGGGAAAGCAACGCATGTCATATCTAGCGGACTTAAGCAAGTGGATGACAGACAGATCCCGAGGGAATAGCAAAGGGACAAAAGTGCTACAAGGGATAGGGGGAAGTGGAGAGCCATGATCGCTTACGTCCACAAGGGACACGGCACATAAAAAGAAGAAATGGATATATAGTTCGGTTAACGTGGTAGCCAGGGCCAGCAGTACATATATTAATTTTATATCTCGTGTATGATGCGACCCACCTAAAATTAGCTTCAAAATACGCGAGTATATACAATAAGAATTATTTTAGCACATCACAGGAAAAAGATAGGTTAGAAAATGTTTGAAGTAATATAAATGTTAATATGTTTTCTTTTTTTTATCATTTTAACGAAATCATTTGAAATTTTATAAGGGAGATGCTTTATCACGTGGTATGAGTATAATTCTGGTGTTGTGTCGGATGATCAATTTATAATGAATTAAAGAAAAGTTTTAGAAAATCCTCAGAATTGCTCAGAATTACTTCGTAGAATTGAATAAAAGGATCTCATTTGCATAAAAACGAATATGGTTGACAATTGGAATCAGGCAGAAGTTAGGACGGATACTAGAACGCTATTATGCTGTTACATAAACTGAAATGACCAATCAAAATTGTATATGAGAATTAAAAAAAATTGACAACTTTAAATTCTCATATACTTGTATTTTGATTGGTCATTCCAGCTTATGTAACAGCGTTTCCCCTAGCGAGGGGTGTTTGATTGGTTTGAATATTTTAAAACCCTTTATTCTACATTAAACACCATCAATTTATAAGACACCAGAAGTGTTGAAACAAAATGGCTATTTTGTAGTGATTTTATAACATGTTATAATTTTCGAATAAATAATTATATTTGCTTTACTCTGCATTGAGCACTCTTTTAAGAATAGTATTTGTTGGTTATTGAAATTTATTCCGTATACACCAATCCTATACTTGGGGATAGATAGATAGATAGATAGATAGATAGATAGATAGATAGATAGATAGATAGATAGATGTGTGTGTGTAAATTCCTCCTTCAAGCCGCTGCTAATGGCACACCCATAAAAAATATATTGTTATACCCACTAACTCTATCACAACTACAATAGAAAAGAATTTATCTAAACGCAACATAAAATTTGTCACAACTACATCAAAAATAATAATAATAAAAAATCCTGAATCAATACAAAACAAAACAACAAGCCAAAACTTGAATGAGGAATTTACTCTATCACAACAAGGATAGAATATATTGGAGAAACCTCAAGAAGTTTATATAAAAGATTATATGAACACAAAAAAAAGACCTAGAAAAAAAAGAAGAAAAAGAAACAACACATTAGTTTTAGAGCGTAATGAGACCACGCTGATTAAAAGAGTTCTGACAACGTTTCACAATTCTTGGCAGATTTTCTGTTACCATAATGTGGCATATTTAATAACAAAGATGATGGAAGCAAAAAGAAATGGAATTTATATGAAATTGGTTAGATTGTATACCCAAAACACATAGATATAGATTTTTTTTCAATTTAAAATTCTTAGCGTCCCTCGTTGGTGCGCATGTGTAGTCGCATTAACGTAAACAAACCCAGTTTGTTGAAGTCCTAAGGGACGATACGCGTCACACGTAAACTTTTTTTCCTCTTTGTCTACATCTTTCCTCTAAAATGGTTCTTGACATATAAAATTATATATCCTTATTTCATATATGATGGACTCTGCCGTCGTATGAAGGTCAGCAACTCATGTGCACTTACGTAGGTTTTGAATTCAGAGTTGAATTTCTCCTAGACCATTTGCCAACCAAAACTATAGTACCCAGTCTGTTCTGCTAATTACCCATAGCTGGAGAAGAAGATGGTTCATACTTTTCACAAGGTTATTAGCACAAGTGAATGTAATCGATGCGAACTCGGCTCTCCAATTCCTCAGGCCGAGCCTCTACCCACTATATATATATATATATATATATAATTAATTCATCGAGTCTGATAGAAACCTCAACAGAATGCACTATGTCCTATATTTGGGACTCATCAGCAGTGCACATCCACTACCGAAAATTGAAACCCTGACAGTTAGGTTGTCAAGTAAACATCATACCAACTGTTCCAATAAGCCTCGGAACAGTTGGTATGATGTTTTTTTTTTTATATATATATATATATATATATATATATATATATATATATATATATATATATATATATATATATATATATATATATATATATATATATATATATATATATATATATATATATATATATATGTGTGTGTGTGTGTGTGTGTGCAGTTATATAACTGTGGGTGTGTATGCTATTTCTCGATGCAGTTTTTACATACATAGGTGTTTGCATCCGCCTGAATATGTGTGCGTGGGTGTGTATGTAAATAGATAGAATTTTTCAATGAAAATGGTTTATTGTGCCATAAAAAGATACTAGGTATATGTCATTGTGTGTGTACGGGTGTATGTTTAAGTATTTGTGGACGTATGGGGGTGGCGTTTTGCCAGTGTTAGTTAATGATTTTCGCGCATGCGTACACATTGCTTATTTATCCACGTGCACCTATATGGCTGTGTTTGTATTGCGGACAGGTTTGTGCTTGTCAATGTCTAATTAGTACTTTCTCTAGACAGAGCGTGGGACAGAAAAAAAATTTTATATTCGTGCGTTCAAATCTGCATTTCTTCACAGACATACACACATATATATGTGAATATAGTAAGTTACTAACCATAACTTAGATGTGGTACAAGGTCAAAAGTAAGGGCATCCAGTGAGGATCGAACTCAATACTTAGTCATAATGTATTTAGCGAGACAATCTCTTACACCACGTCTAAATGCCCTCGCGAATGAATGAATGAATGAATCTATCTATCTATCTATCTATATTCATATCTATCTATCTATCTATCTATCTATCTATCTAATACTAAACGTCTATGATTGCGTGTGTGGTTGCTTGCTTGTGCGGTGCGCATATTTTCCGACGCATAATGATGCACGAGTTGTTTATACAGTAAGCATTTTTATTTTAACTTTCTTCAAACAGACAAAATCTAAACAAAAGAACCTTGTCATTTTTATTAAACGAAACCTGAATAATACATAAACACATAGATATCTATCTATAAAAGGCAGGATGTGTCTGTGTGTGTGTGTAACGAATGCACGGCCGCAATTTTCGACAGATTTTCACCAAAATTTACATGCACATGCTCCAAGTTAGTGGGAAGGCCAACACTGACATTGCATTTCCCAACTCCCATCGATAGTGGAAATAATCGATTTTTCATGCTTCTACGGCAGTTTTCATGTAGTTTGCGGCCATTTTCTACTGGCCAGAGAGAGAGCCTATAGCTGGCTGCCACGAATAGGCAGGAAGATTCTATTGGCCAGCGTGAGAGCCAACAGCTGACTGACACGAATGTTAACTACCATGCTAGCATGCAAAAAATCGATAGCTGCATTCGTCACAAGTGGGAAAAATTTAAATCTGCATGGTACTTTACTCCAATTGGCTCATTCGCTTGATTAAACTCAAAGTTGATTCTGATTCCGCAGAACTGGGTTGGATGTTTTAAGGTATTTGTTGTTAACATTCTTTTTTAATTCGGTTTTTCCAGTTACGAGTCCTTTTTTAAAGTTGATCGTTTTGTGTTCATTTTGTTTAGTTCTTTTTTTCGTAACAGATTTAATGTTTAGTATAGAGCTTAGAAAAAAATCGCAGTGTGAGATAGGCAAGAAGTAAGGTATGTAGCAACTTCAGCACGGCAAAGGGCACTCCTTTAAAGGCAAGGAAGGGCAAAAATATTTTAAGTCAAGTGATAGCGATTGCTGTATGAGTTGTACGATTATTGAATCAAGCACGGGCAATGCCGGGCCATGCTGCTAGTTATTTATATTTCAGCTTTCTTTAAACAAACAATATTTTAAATATATTTTTTGGCATATTTTAAAAATATTTTCAAGTGAATATGATTTTAAAATATTTTTTGACATATTAAAAAATATTTTTTAAATTAATCTGATTTAAAGTTCAGTTCTATTCCTATTAAATGTTGTAAACAATCAGTAAACCGTTAAACATGAACTTGTAAACCAAACCAATGATGACACGAACGAATTGGAATATTTAACTGAATCATAATAAAATTAAGTTTCATTTCAATGGCACGTTGAAATGAACTTCAATGTTTTATAACCTAGACCATCAGTGACACAACGGCTTACGTGGAGTCTTCTTTCTTTTTATGTGCCATGTCCTTTCAGGACGTGAGCGATCATGGCTCTCCACCTCCCTCAATCCCTTGCCGCTCTCAGCAATCTCCTTACCTCCGCTTCCTCCCCCAGACCACATTCTGTCATTCACCTGCTCAAGCTCATCAGGTATGTCATTCGCTGCTTTTCCTTGTCTCTCTTTCCCTCTATTCGACCCGTGAGTATCAGATTCTCCAGGCTCTTCTTTCTTATTATGTGTCCCAGAAACTTCAGCTGCGTCTTTCTCGTGTTAAGTATAAGTCTTCTCCTTGTTTGTAACCTCATCGTTGCTCACATGCTCGGTCCATGATATCCTTAGCATCCTTCTGTAGAACCACATCTCCGTCGCCTCGAGTCTCTTCTTCATCTTTGAGGGAATCGTCCAACTAAAAATGTAAAGTTCAAAACACTTTTCTTGGCACCGACTTCAAGTTTCACAGATAAACCGCTCATCAGAGGAGTCTATTGAATTTACGTTATCACATTTTACATTTTTTTTTCTTCTATTTCTTCTCCTCCTCCTTCTTCTTCTTCTCCACCTCCTCCTCCTTCTTCTACTCCTCCTCCTCCTTCTTCTTCTTCTTCTTCTCCTATTCCTTCTCCTCTCCTCCTCCTTCTTCTATTCCTTCTCCTCCTCCTTCTTCTCCTCCTCCTTCTTCTTCTTCTCCTCCTCCTCCTCCTCCTTCCTTCTTCTTCTCCTCCTCCTTCTGCTCCTCCTCCTCCTCCTTCTTCTTCTTCTTCTTCTTCTTCTTCTCATAGAACAAGTTTAGAATTTGTTTGAAATATGACTAGAACTAGAAGTTCTATCAGGATTTATTACTGGCGAGCACAATCTTAGTGGCATGAGATACATGCGTGACACAATGTTGTTGACGGACTCAGTGAAAAACGGCTGAAAGAAGTCTTTGACAAATTACTAAATAAAGCAAGAAAAAAGGACTATCAAGTCAAAATAGACAGCATGCCTGCTTGTCAGCAAAAGAAATGTCACAATTAATGACTGCAGAAATTCAACTACCTGCGCAGTGCACGGGAAAATGTGACGCAGAAATCCGAAGGTGAATTGGAATAGCGATGGGTTGATTTTTTGATTTGTTTGTTTACGGGTTATGAAAACTTTTCAGGTTATTTAAAAGAAAATATTTTAAATTGTAAGAATTTTTTTTTTATTTTTAAATAGTAATGATTTACTGGTACAAGACTTACTAATTAATCCGTATCTGGGGTGGAGGGAGAAAAGGTGAATTCATACCTTTCGCTGTGTGTTTAAATGGATTCTAATAGAGCTCTGGTCAGATAGGTGTAACGTAAGGCGTCTGGAAAAGCGTGTGCCCGATGTAATTATTTATGAATTCGATTTGATCAGGAACACAGCTCTATTAGAATCCATTTAAACACACGCACACAAACTTACCAGACTCCATCCGAAAAATACTAGCAGAAAATATAAACATAATAACATCATCCACATGTAAAAAAATAGATAAAAAAAAATGGAAGCCCTAATAATAAAAAAAGAAACTGCAAATACTTAATAATATTAACTACGAACACAGCCACAATGCGCTGTGTTCGGAAAATAAAACATCTCCTTAACTCTAAGAACATACACACAACCTATACACCCGATTAAAAAGCAAAAATAAAATCATCCTTGATAATGTCTAAAAGTATAGAAGTATAGCCGAAAGCTCTCGAAATTCTAGAACATTTGCACAGTTTCTATACACTCTGTGTCCAGAAAAATTAAATGAAAAGCTTAATCGTAGTACCATGTCTGTCGTCTTTAATGAAACATGTATAAATAAAGGATTACTGCCTAAATACACATATATATATATATATATATATATATATATATATATATATATATATATATATATATATATATATATATATATATATATATATATATATATATATCCTCCTCCATATATATATATATATATATGGCCTGACGATTGCGTCCAGCATGAAACAGTCTATCGCCTCTGAGTGTTGACTTCAATGTTCACTTTATATTTATATTTACATACGATCTATCTCTGATATTGAGCATAAATATAGCACACTTTAAAACTATATATATGAAAGAAAGAAAGAAAGAAAGAAAGAAAGAAACTGGCATAGATAGATAGATATGAAAGCATAAGATAGGTGTGAACCCATTGAGATAGTGTTAATGCCTAGGATTGTCTTTTCTAGCAAGCGATATATATATATATATATATATATATATATATATATATATATATATATATATATATATATATATATATAGAGAGAGAGAGAGAGAGAGCAAGAGAGAGAAGTAATAGAAGCATGTTTTGTGAGTTTAAGTCTGTTTTCATACAGGTGCTTTTTTCTTGTTCGTGGGTCTGCGTGCACGCTGATGAAAGCATTTTCCTTCACTTATCTGGTTACATTTACTAATTAAAGACATTTGTTTACTGACCAAATGTAACATTTCCTCTATCCACCATTCGTAATAATATTTTAATGCAAAACAATTATTGCCTTCCTTTTTGCTTTTTTCCCCTCCTCTTTCTTTTAGAATTCTGTCAATGTCCATCTGGGCTAATTACATCTTCCTTCCCCCACTTTTGTGAAGCCCTGCACGAAACATTGACGCCTTAGTGTTATTGATAATGAGGGACACAGAAATCTGTCAGTAGGTCAGTGACAGTCAAACAAGGAAATACATTAACGTAGGCAATAATAATAATAATAATAATTATAAAGGGTGTGAAGAGCAGATGAAGAAAAACCACACACGATAAACGTGTTCTGAGAAAGAAAGAAAAACATTGAAAATAAGAGCATTGTGAAACATACACAAACACATGCGCAGAAATGCACTGAATTTGATCATTTGGTCAGATTTTTGGAAGGAAGAGGTCAGGTCGAAATCCTTTTAACAACCATCGTATGTGCATGTATATATCCTAAAATACACATACGCACTTACATGTACGCACAAAGCAGCGATATTTATTACTAATATTACTTCAAATGTTATTTCATTTTTAGTGGTTTTCCGTATTTAAATAGCCGTCTTGTTTTTTAAGCAGTGTGAAT